CCTGCTCTCCCCCCACCCCAGGCCTTCATGGAACTACTGTCTGTCTCCACAGGTTATGCATATATGCATATAAGTTCTTTGGTTAATCTCTTCCAGTCCTCTTCCCTTTCCTCTGAGAATCATCAGTCTGTTGCATACTTTTATGTCTCTGGATCTGTTTTTCGGTTTATTTTATTTATTAGATTTCACTTATAAGAGAGATCATGTGATATTTGTTTTTCTCTGACTGGCTTATTTTGCTTAGCATAATACTCTCCAGGTCCCTCCATGTTGTCTCAAAGGGTAAGAGATCTTTCTTTTTTTATAGCTGCATAGTATTCCATTGTATAAATAGACCACAGCTTTTTTATCCATTCATCTACTGATGTGCAGGCACTTGGGCTGTTTCCAGATCTTAGTGATCGTAAATAACTCTGCTATGAACATAGGGTTACATACATTCTTTCTAATTGGTGTTTCAGGCTTCTTAGGATATATTCCTAGACGTGGGATCACGGCATCAAATGGCAGTTCCATTTATAATTTTTTGAGGAAACGACACATTGTTTTCCATAGTGGTTGTACCAGCCTGCCTTCCTACCAGCAGTGCACTAGGGTTCCCTTTTCTCCGTATCCTCGCCAGCACTTGTTTGTTGATTCAGTGATGGTAAGCCATTCTGGCAGGTATGAGGTGGTACCTCATTGTCATTTTTTTGTTTTTGTTTTTAATGTGAAAATTTTTATTTTAATTACTCCTATTTGAAGGTTCTTATTTTTGAACAACAGCAAGGCATTTTATTATCCACTCTGTAAAGGTTCCCACAGGGCAAATGCACATTATTCTCACGACTATGTTTTGGAGTGACTCGGTGAGTCAGCAGATTCATCAATCCACCTCACCAGCCCTTTGTATCTTTCTACAACGTTGAAGCCAATAGCACACTGCAACTTGTGTAAACAGACAGGGCACGGATTTAGGGGGCACTGGTCAGCTTCTTCCAAGTGCTTGTTCTAGGCATGCAATCCACTAGCAGGGTCGAAGTCCAAATATGTGTCTAATTTCGTGTGTTAAAGTCTTACAGGACTGAAGCAGCAAAACACCAGTCATTTCAGGAGCGTGAGTAGCCACTTGAAGATTGTTTTCTGTGACACCTTCACATTGCCTTCATAGCCTGAGCTGTAGAAATCACTGCCATATCTAGCAAAGCTGAATATCCCCACACCATCTGTCAGAGAGGCCTGTCCAAAGACAACATTTCAGGAGTCTCTTGGGTGAAGACGAATCCTTGTTATTCCCGCAACACAGAAGTCATCCTCAGGTTCCTTCTTTTTTAAGAACTTCAGGATGTGCCCTGCATGTATTTGAAGGTTTTGTATATTATCATTGACTGTAAAGGAACAACTCATTGCAGAGACAGGAACTGGTTCTAGGCATTTTACTGTCAAGCCATAGAAAATTGCTTCACAGTAGCCTTTGAGCCATTTAATAGATTTTTCACTGATAATTCTGGTGTTTCCTAGAGATCCAGTGCACTGTATATAAATACTGTGTTTCTCTGGAGAAGGTGTCTTTCTGGAAGGATCATTTGAAAACTCTTCAAGGTCTTGGGGAGGCTCAGGATGAGAGGTGATCCAATCTGATGGAGAATGCAAGGTAATGGGTCCAAAGAGATCACTGGCTGGTTGGAAGTCTTTGTTCATCAAACACCATTCTGCAGCATCAACCTTCTCCTACTGGGACACAAGCACTGGGTTCTTTGAGATGAGAGCTGTTCTAAGTGTCTGTACCGAGTGCCATACCATTTTCATAATGACAGGTCTCTTCCATTCACAACATGTTTTAGATAGAGCTTTCATCCTTCCTTTGAATGGGTCAAACAGCTGTTCCACCACGAGGCTCACAAGAACAGGCGTGTCAGGGCCTGGTCTGGAAGGTGTTGTGCGGGGGTGCCTTCACCCCGCACCCTGCCTGGCCTGGGCAACACCAGACCGCCTGCCTACCACAGTGGCCCCTGTGCACTTCTCCTCATTGTGGTTTTAATTTGCATCTCTCTGAAGATTAGTGATGCTGAGCATTTTTTCATATGTCTCTTGGCTATTTGTATGTCCTCTTTGGAGCCGTGTCTATTGGGTCCTCAGCCCATTTTTCAATTGGATTGTTTGTCTTCCTTTTGTTGAGTTTTATGAGTACTTTATGTATTTTGGAAATTAACCCCTTATCTGATGTATCATTGGTAAACATGTTCTCCCATTCAATGGGTTTCCTTTTCATTTTGATGCTCGTTTCTTTTGCTGTGCAGAAGCTTTTTATTTTTATGTAGTCCCATTTGTTAATTTTTTCCTTTGTTTCTTTTGCCCTAGCTTCTGTATCAGTGACAATTCTGCTGCCTGAAATGTCTGATATTTGGCTGCCTATGATTTCTTCCAGGATTATTATGGTTTCACATCTTACATTTGAGACTTTTAATCATTTTTTTAGTTTATTCTTGTGTATGATATAGTTGGTGGTATACTTTCTTGGGTGTTTTTTTTTTACATGTCCAATTATCCCAATTATTGAAGAGATTGTCTTTACTCCATTGTATGCTCTTGCCTCCTTTGTCAAATATTAATTGAGCATAACAGCTTGGGTTGATTGCTGGGTTCTCTGTTCTGTTCCATGGATCTACTAGTATATGCCTGTTCTTGTGCCAGTACCAGGATGTTTTGATTACAGTGGCTTTGTAGTATAGTTTGATATCGGATATTGTGATCTCTCCAACTTTGTTCTTCTTTCTCAAGATTGTATGGCTATCCAGGGTCTTTTTAGGTTCCATATGAATTTTTGGAGTATTCTAGATCTGTGAAATATGCCTTTGGTATAGTGTCTTCATCTGGTTTTGGAATAATGCCAGCCTCATAAAAAGAGGTTAGAAGTGTTCCTCCCTCTTGGATTTTTTGGAATAGATTGAGGAGGATAGATGTTAGTTCTTCTTTGAATATTTGGTAAAATTCCCTTGTGAAGGTGCCTGGGCCAGGGCTTTTGTTTCCTGTGAGTATTTTTATTACTGCTTCAATTTCATCAGTTGCTATCAGCCTATTCAGGTTTTCTGATTCTTCCTAATTCGGTTTTGGAAGATTATATTTTTCTAGGAATTTGTTCATTTCATCCAAGTCATCCACTTTGTTGGCATATAGCTGTTCAAAGTATTTTCTTACAACACTTTGTATTTCTGTGGTGTCAGTTGTCACTTCACCTCTTTAGTTTCTGATTGTATTTATTTGGGTCATCTCTCTTTGTTTCTTTTTTTTCTTTTTTTTAATCCTCACCTGAGGATATTTTTCCATTGCTTGAGAGAGAGAGAGAGAGAGAGAGAGAGAGAGAGAGAGAGAGGCATGCACTCCTACTGGGGCTGGGGAACTTGCAATCGAGGTACATGCCCTTGACCAGGAATCGAACCTGGGACTCTTTGGTTCACAGGCCGACACTCTATCCATGAGCCAAACTGGCCAGGGCTCTCTTTGCTTCTTGATGAGTCTGGCTAAAGATTCATCAAACTTGTTTATCTTTTCAAAGAACCAGCTCTTGGTTTCATTTATCTTTTGTATTTTTTTTTAAGTCTCTATGTCATTTATTTCCACTCTGATCTTTATTATTTCCTTCTTCCTACTTGCTCTGGGATTTTCTTGTTCTCTTTCTAATTCTTTAAGATGTAGGGTTAAATAGTTTATTAGAAATTTTTTTTTGTCTCTTGAGATAGGCCTATAGTGCTATGAATTTCCCTCCAGGACTGCTTTCGCTGTGTCCCATAGATTTTGGGTTGTTGTGTGTTCATTTTAATTTGATTCCAGGAAGTGTTTTTATTTCTTCATTGATCTCATTGGTAACCCATTCATTGTTTAATAACTTGCTATTTAGCTTCCATGTGTTTGAATGTTTTGGGGTACTTTTATTGTAGTTGATTTCTAGTTTCATGCCATTGTGACCTGAGCAGATGCTTGATATGATTTAAATCTTCTTGAGTTTGTAGAGACTTAGTTTGTGTCCTAACATGTGGTCTATCTTTGAAAATGTCCCATGTGTACTTGAGAAGAATGTATATTCTGTAGCTCTGGTTGAAATGTTCTGTTAATTAAATCCATTTGATCTAGTGTGTCATTTAGCATCCCTGTTTCCTTGTTGATATTTTGTATGGAAGATCCATCCAGTGATGTCAGGGGTGTTAAAGTCCCTTACTATGATTGCTGTCAATCTCTCCCTTAAAGTCCTCCAGAAGTCTTTTGTTTGTTTGTTTGTTTGTTTGTTTGTTTTGTTGTTGTTGTTAATCCTCACCTAAGAATATTTTTCCATTGATTTTTTTTTTTTTAGAGAGAGAGTGGAAGGGAGGGGGAAAGACCGAGAGAGAAACATCAATGTGAGAGAGACACATCAATCGGTTGTCTCTCACACATGCCCCAACTGGGGCCAGGAAGTGAGCCTGTAACCCAGGTACATACCTTTGACCAGAATCAAATCCAGGACCCTTCAGTCCAAGGGCTGACACTCTATCCACTGAGCCAAACTGGCTAAGGCCAGAAGTTTTTAAAATATATTTGGGTGCTCCTATATTAGATGCATATACGTTTACCAGGGTTATATCCTCTTATTGTATCAGTCCCTTTAGTATTAGGAAGTGGCCTTCATTGTCTTTTGTTCTGGCTTTCATTTTGAAGTCTATTTTGTCAGATGAGTATTGCTACCCCAGCTTTTTTTCCATTTCCATTTGCATGGAAAATTTTTTCCATCCCTTCACTTTCATCCTATGTGAGTCTTTTGTTCTGGGGCGGGTCTCTTGTAGACAACGTATATATGGGTGACAAAGCTAGTAAAGCAATTGGCAGGTAATATGTTTTCTTATCCATTCAGCTACCCTATGTCTTTTGATTGGAGCAGTTAAGCCATTTACATTTAAGGCTATTATTGACAGGTATTTATTTGTTGCCACTTTTATTCTTTATGCCTGTGCTCCTCTCTCTCTTTCTTCTTACAACAGTCCCTTTAGCATTTCTTGCAGTGCTGGTTTGGTGGTAATAAACTTCTTCAGCCTTTTTTTTTTCTATGAAGCTCTTTATTTCACCTTCACTTTTGAATTTCACCTTCAATTTTGAATTATAGCCTTGCTGGATAGAGCAGTCTTGGATTCAGTCCCTTACTTTTCATTACTTTGTATACTCATGACACTGCCTTCTGGCTTGAAGTGTTTCTATTGAGAAATCAGCTGGAGGTCTAATGGGAGCTCCTTGTAGGTAACTTTCTGTCTCTCTCTTGCATCCTTTAATATTTTTTCTTTGTCTTTAACATTTGGCATTTTATTTATGATGGGTCTTGGTGTGGGTCGTTTTGGGTTCATCTTGATTGGGACACTCTGTGTTTCTTGGACTTGTGTGACTTTTTCCATTACCAGGTCAGGGAAGTTTTTTCTGTCATTATTTCTTCCAACAGGTTCTCTATTCCTTGCTCAGATTCTTCCAGCACCCCTATGATGTGGATGTTGTTACATAGTATGTTGTCCCAAAGCTTCCTTCAACTCTCCTCCTACTTCTTAATTTTTCTTCCAATTGCTGCTCTAAATGGGTGTTTTTTTCTACCCTGTCTTCTAATTCGCTGATTCAGTCCTCAGCTTCTTCCAGTCTACTGTTGATTCCATCCAGGGTATTTTTTATTTCAGCTATGTCATTTTTCATTTCTGATTGATTCTTATTGCAGGTCCATGCATCCAGGTGGGCCATGTGCCAAGATGGCTGGGTAGGATGTGCACGCTGCTTGTCAAGGCAGCAGGGTTGGCCCTAAAATGTGAATATTAATAGGGCTTACCCATAGAGTTGTCATGAGGGTTAAGGAGAAAAATACAAGTACATAGTAAGCACTTCATTAATATTAGTTATTATTATTATGCCTGAGGCAGCCTGCCAATTGCTTTACTAGCTTTGTCACACAATCATCAAAACAATCATAGGCAAATAAGGGAATAGAGGATCAGAGATGGTGCCTGCCATACCAAAGATTGCACAAAATTCAGAAGCTCGGCCATCTAACTCCAAAAATGGAGAGCTCAATCACCAAAAGCTCTAGCACCGCCTCCCACCCCACCCTCACTCAGGGAATGTCCAAATGCAGGAAGGTTAAGTGAACAGAACAGTCCTAGGGGAGAGTGTCCTTCTCCTTAAAACTTTGTGGGTGGTGGGTATAGGGGAGAAGGCTGAATTTAGGGATTAGATTTTAAATTGTTATGGGGTGGAGATGGGGGCAGCAGTGTGCCAATCATAAGCCCTCTGAAGATCACTACTTTCTGTGGACAATGAAGTGAACAAACTTCCCTAAGTCTGCAGTGGTGCCCTAGACCTGGGAATGGTGTTCTGGCCCCTTCAGGGTCCTTTCTTCCCTCCCCTTAGACACGTGTCCCAAAATCAAAGTACATTGTGATGCGAACGAAATAAACCAATGTCTAAAGAGCAGACAGTGCCCAGAGAAGATGAAGTGTTGCAACTTTAACTGTGCAAGGAAATGTTTAAACCTCAAACAAGGTAACTCAGAAATCCCCTGAACTATCCAATACCTACACACCCTACCCCCACTTTCTGCCCACCTACACTGACATTACTAGACCACTTCCCTAGTTCACTGATGGCTGGTGTCTGATCAAGAGTCTGGGTGCATCTTTTAATTAATACAAATCCTGGATTTGGAAGGAGGGGGTGTTGGGAGTCATGGGTTTTATTTATTTTCTGTTCATATTTAGGTATGTGATGTGGGTGACGGAGTTTTTCCTTCATGGGACTTAGTTTCCCATCTGTAAGAAAGATGGGAGGGGGGAAGTGGGCATTAGATCACATTGTCTCTTGGCTGCTTTTCTGTGATCCTCTGAGATGCCAAATAGCCAGTGAAGTCCCATCAAATGCCAACAGAGAGCCAGGTGATAGAATAGCTATAAGACACAGGTATACGATTTTTATTTCCTGGTTGTGCTTTTTCTAGGCCTCTTTGTCTATATAAATCCAAAATGCCTTCCCTAACCACCTTTGTCCTCCTTCACTCTTTCCTCTCTGCTCATATAATTGAGCTCTAAAGAAGACCATCAAGGAGTATTCATCCATCCATTCATTTTACAAATATTTACTTGTTCCCCTGACACCAATGATAGGCTCCACTTGCTCAGTGTAGCCAGGGAACTCAGTAAAGTTTTTCCAGGTAAAAAGATCCACAATTTAAGACCTGTGAGATCTTAAATGATACGGTTCTGAAAAACACACACAAGAACACACACACAAAAACCCTCTCTCTATTCCCCTTAGCACTATGTACAAAATATTTGCTCTATAAATGTTTTTTGAAGTTCAGGATACATTTGATTTTTTAAAATATTTTTAATTGATTTTTAGAAAGAAGAAGGGAGAGAGAGGGAAACATTGATATGAGAGTGAAACATGGATTGGCTGTGCCCTGTATGCCCACTACTGGGGATCAGCTTGCAACCCAGAATGTGTCCTGACCAGGAATGAACCTGTGACTTTTCAGTGCACAGGACGATGCCCAACCAACTGAGCCACATTGGCGATTTTATTTTTATTAATAAAAATATAAAAACAAATAAACAAAAAAAAGATCTAATAGGTGAAAGCAGCTCAAGGAGCGTGTATGTGTGTGTGTGTGTGTGTGTGTGTGTGTGTGTTTTACTGTGAACATTCCTGAAGCATCCACTCAGTGCCAAATTATCTGCAAGGAACTGGTGTACCAAGATGACATAAGGCACAAATCTCACATTCTCATGGAGGAGTCAGAAAATACAAACAAATAATTACATAGAAGTGGCAAATGTGTGTGCAAGACTGAGAAGCAATACAGAAAAGCAAGGAGTGAAGCATGGAGCCAGGAAAGGCAACATAGAAGTGTTTGATGACTGAGAAGTGTTTGAATAATGAAAAGGGATGTACCTAGTGGGCAAGAGAGAGGTGGACATTCCAGGCATGTGCAAAGGCATGGAGGGGTGTAAGAGGCCACTCCTCCATGACTGTGCACATCTCTGAAATGTTCTCTAGGGAGGCAGGCACCCAAACTGCTCTACTCTGCAATCTCCTTGCAGACATATGCAGTTTGCCAAAGGTAGTTGGCCCCTGCCTGGCCTTCTTTCCACGCTGGTGGTATGATGAGGAAACTCAGGCATGCTCCAAATTCATCTATGGTGGTTGCCTAGGGAACAACAACAACTTCCAATCTGAATCTATCTGCAAGACCATCTGCAAAAAAAAGAAAGTAAGTCCCACGGGTCCCATTTCCCATGCTCACCTGGGCTACCCTGGGAGGTCTGGGTGTTGGCCGGTCTGTTCTAGGAACTTGGCAGGTTTGGGGCTGATATAACCAATTCAATCAGGAAGTAAGAATGCACCTTTGAAGGGGTAGGTAGAGGAAAAAGAGGGTGGGAAGGGAAGCAGTAGTCAAAGTTGGCAAGTATGAGATGAATAGAGGGTACATAGAAAGCTGAAGTGGTGAAGGGTCTGAGACCAAGTCAGAAGAAGGCCCAGTAAATAAGCCCAGTGCTTGGCACCATGAATCAGACAGTCACTCCAGGCCATTACTTCTCACCAAACCTCATCAACAATTCTCTTCCCTTTCCTTCTTAAGGTGATTATAGCTAGGACAACCACATGCTACATTGATGACATGAAGATACTTTTGAGAGCAAAAGGAAATACCATTAACTATGTTATTGGGAAAACAGACATAAACTGGGACTTTAATGGAAAACCAGAACATGTGATCACTCTCTGAGCCCCTGAGGTCACTCCACTTCTGTTTTCTCTTCCTGTGAAAAGATGCCAAATGATCTTATCTCAAACACTTCCACACCTTTCTTCTCTCTTTCTCAGGCGTATATCTTATCTCTATTTCTCCTAAATGCTAAGGATCCTGGCGAGACTTGCAACCAGGGGAGCAGTGGGCAGTGGTAGCGCATCCCGGGCTCATCCCCTGAACCTGTCTTCAAGGCTCCCTTTTCTCTGACTTTATAATGAGCTAACAGAAGCCCCACCTTGGCTCACTTCTGTCACTGACATTTACTTCTCAGTGAGTCCACACTGCCCTGCATGGCTCACTTCTTTCCTATAATGTTTCTATAGAGCCAAAGCAGGACACCACTTAGGCTATCTCCTGTTGCTTATTCTACCCTAAGCCCTTCCTTTGTTTCACTGTCCCCAGAATTAATAAACATACTCTAAAAATCACACACACACACACACACACACACACACACACACACACACACACACACGCAGATCTTACCTCTTTTTCCATTAACTGCAAGACTTAGTTCATATGGGGATTAAAGTCCAAGTATCTCACCCTTTTCTTTTCTGCTATTTCACAGGGTCGTGGTCTTAAGTAGGATAACCTAAGCTGAAACCACCTCCAGAATTTGGCTCATAATACAGGCTCTCTCCATGTGTGCTTGACTGATGCCCCATATTGGTTTTTGCTGGCCAAGTCTCCGCTGCCAAGACCTTGGCTGTTCCAAACACCAATCCCCAGGATTTGTTTATTCTTGCAGCTCAGCTTCTCTTCAAATATAATGCCCATCGCCCTTTGACCCTGTATCTTCAACTCTCGGGCCCCCATTTATCCTTTGGAAGCCTCCAGTTTTCCCTAATAAAGTGCTCCATGAGGTCTGATATCTCTGAGGCTGAATAATTCACATTTGCTCCCTGGTGCAGTTTTTGGAAAAGAGGTCATTGGATCTCCTGGGGACGTCAAAAGAGGGAGAGAGGAGTAGAAAAATCCTGCAAATTGAGAACTCTGGTGACACTGTTTCCTGATAAAATTGTCATAAGATACTTAAGAATGGAACCAGAGCCGATTCATGTTTTGTGTGGTCTAAAGCTTATAAAGTTAGGGGGTTCATTTCATAAACAAATACAAATTTAAAAGTGAATATTCTTCAAATGAGAAAGAAAATTGCAACCAATTGCAAATTTTAAAAAGCTAACAAATACCACATGTTGCATAAGATCCATATAGATTAATTATTAAGTTTTTACATATATGACAGCAATTCTACAAAACTCAATTTCTGTGGAAAGATAATTCAGTCTTTTGTTGAATATGGTTGAACAAAAATTATTATATTTTTATTTTGGTTGTGTTGGGATGCATACAATAGAAGCATGAATGCACAGCCATACTTGATATTTGTGTCCTAAAAACACAGGAATTTAAATTCTCTTTTGCACGATTCCATCAAGAAGCCTAGTTGGGACAGGGTAGGGTGCAGGAATGCTCCTCTCAGGACCTCAGTTTTCGAACCATGAGTTGAAGGTGGTGGACTAGTGTCAAAGAATACTTCTAAATTTGAGAAGATAAGGCAGCTCAGGAGCCCTGCCCAATCTGATAAGCACCTGGGGCTTTTCCAACCCATTGGTGCTTCTCAATCCTTGCTTGGGGTTGAAGTACATGAGTGACTGGAACAGAATCATCCGTCCTAGGGACTCATGAACCAGAGAGGTCCTTGGAAATAGCCAGAGTGTGCCCTGTAGTTGATAGTTTCTGCTCACCTGCTGAGAATGAGCCCAGAGCCCTTGTGACTGAGTACAGGGAACTTCATGCCTTATTAAGACCTCAGTGAAAGATGCTGCATGTCTTTGTTGTTTGTTCATTTCTCGGCCCATTAAAACCTAGGGAACACCTCGAGTGGAATCTTTTGGTGTTATTCATGGTGCCATGCAGACCTGAGATCCCCCTCATCTTCCTCTCCCTTTTAGTCTCACCTCAAAGCTTCCTGCAGAGCCAGAAATGCCCAGAGGAAGCTGTGGATGGTTTGAAAATTCAGGAAATGTCCAAGCTGAGGATATTAGAGAGCCCCACCAGCCCAAATAACCCTCCTTATTTTTTTATACATGTACAAATGGAAGCTTCTAGTAGGAAATAGACATCCAAGATACACAGCAAATCAATAGCAAAACTGGAGCTAAAATCCAGGTTTGAGTGTAACAAGGTGTTGCCAGATCCCACAGCCTTGTTGGAAATCAGGGTGGATATAATGGCTACTTGTCACTTCGTTGTTTTAATATTCAGCATTTCTTTTTTTCATTTTTTTAAAATTCTTTTTTTAAAAAATCTTTATTGTTGAAAGTATTACATATGTCCCCTTCCCCTGCCCTCCAATATTCAGCATCTTAATGCCATTCCTACAGTTGAAGAATTCCCTACCATGGGGAGTCTTTGTGTAAAGTAACACCAGTGTTCCATTATGAAAGTTGAAAGGCCAGACTCTTACTCTATTGGTCAGGTTTAGTAATGGACACAGAAACCATACTCAGTATTTCAAGAGAAAATGTAATACTGAGATTTGGTTACATGATTATTGGGAGGATCTGAGCATCGGAAAGAACTGGAGCTTGTGTAGGAATCAGAGAGAACATTTTCTCCAAAATAACAGGAGAAAGTGAGACTAGTTCCATGAATAATAGAAAAGGCTTTGGGCTTGGGCATCTGGATTCTAATGCTGGCCCAGCCATTAATTTCTAGGGGACAATAAGCAAGTCATTCTTCTCTCTGGGACCCAGTTACCATACTTGCACCATTGGGAAAGAACAAACGAAGGACCTTCCTCACATCACTGGGGCACTTCCTTGGCTCTCATCCTTACTGGCCCCAGTGATGTTCAAAAGATATCAGTGGTGTTAGTGATGGGAAAAGTATGGACCTGTGCCCAGCAATAGGTGATCCAGTAAAGCACTGTAGACCACACACGTTCCAGGAAGACCTGGGAGTCCAAGCCCTTGTGCTATGTCTGCCTCTCACCAGGTGAGCGGCACTCTAGGGCAATAACATATCAGGAAGGGAGAACTGAGTCAATATAACTGTTATTGAGACCTAGGTTTTGTGTTGGAAGGACAGTTTCCTCTCTAATTTAACAAGTACTGCTATATGAACTGCTGTAAGATATCTCAAACAACTTGAGCAAGTCTTCTGAGGAAGATGGGAAAACATCATAGAATCTTTTAAATTCATTGTTTGCCATTGAGCAGGTCAAGGATTTTTTTCTGTAGCCAAATCACCTAAGTGGCTGACCAATACCAGTGCATTAAAAACTCAGAGATAGAGTCTTTAAAAAACTGAATTAAAATAAAATGAAAGGTCTCAAGGTGACTCTGATATAAGTTCAGGACTACTGGTCTAAAACTCTTCTGATTTAATATCACACTTCTGATTTATATAATTTCCTTGGGTCTTGGTGTCCTCATCTATGAAATATGCAAAACAATAAAACCAGTGTCATAGAGTTTTTAACAAGCACACAAGATGAGTTATGTAAAATGTGCATAACATACTGCCTTGGATGTTAATGTTCCATAAACAATAAAGATTAGTATTATTGCCCTAACCGGTTTGGCTCAGTGGATAGAACGTCGGCCTGCGGACTGAAAGGTCCCAGGTTCGATTCTGGTCAAGGGCATGTACCTTGGTTGCGGGCACATCCCCAGTGGGAGGTGTGCAGGAGGCAGCTGATCCATGTTTCTCTTTCATCGATGTTTCTAACTCTCTATCCTTCTCCCTTCCTCTCAGTAAAAAATCAATAAAATATATATATTTTTTAAAAGATTAGTATTATTATTAGAACAAACACAGTAAAAAAAAAAAAAGGTAGGCACCCCTTTATGATATCAACCACTCAGATGCAAACCTTGTAGGGTCTCAGCTTCCAGAAAAGGGGTCAACCTGGAGCTTCCCACTGTGAACAGTTTCCATGTCCTGTGAATAAAGCTCAGGCTCCTGGGTTCATAGGCCCTTTCTCCCTCCTCTATTTATATTCAAGCTCTTTGGCATAGAGTGCTAATAATTATCTTCTGTAAAAATTCTACTTGGATTTCAGAAGATATAAATTAACTCTCCTCTTAAAGTAATCAACCTTATTTTGCTCCCTACACATTTATTTTGAATATAAATAAAGTAAAAACAAATAGAAATAAACTTTCTTAGTACGTGTATGCTTATAATAAACGTATTTGTTATATGTATAAGCAAGTCCTCTCTCTAAGTCCCTGTTCCCCTGTTCTGTGAGATGAAGATGATGATAATATCTCTCCCAAGGACTTTTTTAGAAGAGTGTAATGAGAAAAGGCAGAGAATCCTCTGACATATTGTTGGTGTTGAAGTGATGTCAGTTTCCTTCTCCCTTCTAGAAAAGATAAAGGTTTTGTGGAGTTTAGAATCTGACTGGGAAAACTTTATTCTTTCACAATCCCACCCACATTTACTCCCCATCTCTACGCCACCCAAATCAATGGATCTCAATCAAAAGTAATTTCATTCTTTACACACATATATGGTTGACATAGGGTTTGTAAGACTCCTATGATGAGTACAAGTGCTAAATAACTAGCAAGAGCTTCCTGCTAGTTTCTCGAATGTGCTTTTAATAAATCTTACACTTGTCCTCCATGTTCTGGAAGGTTAGTAACCTTACCACCCAAATCACCTGAGGAAGAGCCAAGTCACTGAGTTGAGGCCAAAGATCCCCCAGGGCAACCCAGGTACAGAGTGGTCTTCAAAGGCCAGTACCTCCCACACCACCCACAAGGCCTGTTCAGCCAAATAAGTACATCAAATACATCAAATAAGTACAGGCACATCTCATCAGGCACTGCCCTCACTGCATGGAGTCCTTATCACACTGCTCATGTTGGAAATATTTTTATAATTAAAAAATACTTATATCCATAACTCTTCTGCAGGGTTTCTAACCGTGGCACTATTGACGTTTGGGGGCAGCTCATTCTTTGTTGTGGGGCTATCCTGTGCATTGCAGGATGGTTAGGTTAGCAGCATCAGTGGCCTCTGCCAGTAGGCGCCCCCATTCCCCCCAAGTTGTGACAATCATAATTGTCTCTAGACATTGCCAAGTGTCCTGAGGGTAGAATCGCCTCCTCCCAAGATGAAAATTGCCCTTCTGAACTGTGTTTTAAACGGTCAGTTTTCACTTCCTGGTCCGCTGCTCTAGAAGAGGGAGCAATGCGGGAGCTCTCATCCAAGAGCACCGATAGGCAGTCCTGCCTTACTCTGTTGGAACGGCAACTGCCAGTCTGTTCATGCCCTGGGGACCTCCTTCTGCCATTATTTTGGTTTCTGACTAACAGATTTGATAATCCAAGAGAGCTAAGGAAAGAGACAGGAATAATAGTAGTGGACCCAATAAAGTGCAAAAAAGATGTATCACCGAGATGTTGAAATGCAGGCTTTTAGAGGAGTCTTAAGAAAATAAAGGCAGAGGAAGCAGTGAAGGTGAGCAGGCCATGAGAGGGTTGACCAACCATTATGTGAACTATAGTTTGGAGAAGCAATGTCCAAGGAATGAGTATCATCATGGCTGCAGGGGATTTAAAGAGAAAGAAGGAAGAGTTACCACTAATGTGCAAGGATGGGTAACACATTTCTATAGATAACAAGTATGGTTCTAACCTAGTTTGCACTCCCATTTCCAAAAAGATCATCATACACACACACACACACACACACACATCTGCAAATGGCATGTGTCTGTGTGTGCATTTATAACATATGAAGCATTTATATATCTATTGAACACTTGTGCAGTTCTGGGAAGTATGCTAAACCAGTATGATTAATCTCAACGTATAGATGATAAACTGAGGCTCGGAGAGATCACATGACTTGCCCAAGGTCAAGAACACCTGAACTCAAAAGCACAACCTTAGACTTCATATCTCAGACTCACTATATCCCACCAAAGCATGCCAGCTTTGCCTTTTAAAAAATCAGATCTCTAAAGTCTAGAGGATCTGGGAAAGGAAGAGGGTGGGAATGTGCTGGTTCCTGGCAATTGAGGTGTGTCTGTAAACAGATGATTCTCTAAACCAGACAAAGTTGGCCCCTCTATACCACAATGTTGCTCTCATGATTCCCTGGGAGACTTCAGATGGGAGGGAGGAAGCAACTAAAACTATGCTTAGCACATTAGGTGTTTGATGAATGAATGAATGAATGAATGATACAAGGGCACTGGAGCTGGGCAGACGAGGATCCCAATCCTGGCTTTGAAACTCACTATCCATGTGACAATGGTCAATGTACTTTAACTTCTCTTCGTGTACAAATTGGGGGTTCTAAGCCTTGTAGGAATCCTGGGTGGGTTCAAGGGAGGTGATATGTGAAGAGTAGTTTCTATGATGCTTGGGAAGGTAAATGCACTCAATAAATGGTACTTATTGTTTTATTATTGTTACAGCAGCTTCCACCCTGAAGTGTAATAAAGTGGCCTTGGGTAAAGGCCAAAGATCAGATAAGGTCAAAGAAAAAAGTCAGAGATGTGCTTTGGCTGGACACCCTGTTCCAGGGCTAGCCCAAACTCGTGATTAACAAGAGTTAGGGGTGAGTGAGCTGAATGTGGAGCCAGACTTCTCCCGATTGGTCCCCTTTCTCCCTAAAATGCCAACCCCAGGCTGGGCCACTGGCTGGGTGGCACCATGCAGCTCCGGATCTCTCTTCCATTTCTTCTATTTCTCACCTTCAGCCAAGAGTTTCAATCGGAAGCAGGAACAGGTTGGTATGGAAGTGGGAGCTCCAAGAACAGATTGGGAATGGGGGGGGGGGGGGGGGGGGGGGCGCGGCAGTACAAAGAGAGTCTGTTCTTTATCTCATAACGTAGGGAGTCAATTCAATTCACTTCATCAAATATACATGTTGGGTGCATGCAGTGTGCCCAGTACTGTGCTAGGTGCTAAGGCTAAAGTAACGAGTGAAGCAAAAATCCTGCCTTTGTGGAATTCGTATTCCAGTGGGAGGGAGACAGACAATACATAATACACATAATAGATGATAGACGTGCTATAGAAAAGAGAAAACCTAGAGCTGGGTAAAGGGTGAGATCCCTGCTCTCATGAGTCCTCTTGGTCAAGGAAGGAAAAGAATGATTGAGAGCAGCTACTATTTATTGGTGCTTTTCTATTTATCAATGCTTTCCATAGGTTATCTCTAAGCCTTTGGTACGTCTAAAGTGTGAATTTTATACCCCCATTTTACATGAAGGAAACTGCGTGCCAAAGATGTAGGTGATTTGTCTAAGATCACACAGCTAGAAATGTGAATAAACTTTGAACCCCACTCTCAGATTCTAAGTCAGTCCTTTCATACGGGATATCTATTCTAAAGAATGATGAGGAGACAGGAGGTGGAAGCCTGGGAGAGCTTACTCATCAAATCCTAGAAAATCAGATCTGAAAGGATGCTCAGAGATGATGGAATTCAACTCCCTAATTTTAAAAATGAAGATTTGGAGAAGTTAAGTTGATACAGTTATCCCACAGTAATAAGTGGATTTGAATTCACTAGAACAGGATTCTCAAGTCTGGGGTTTTTAGCACAGCAGTCTGCTTCCAGAAATGAAAAACCTCAATTTCTGTATAGAGGGATAAGGCTATTGCTGTGTGGGCCAGATGAGCTGGATGGGAAGAGGTACAGAGCTCAGTTGCTGTGTATAGCCTCACAGCTGTGCCCATGGCCATCCGAGCCCCTGGCATATGAGCATATGAGCCAACAAGGGGAAGGTGATAAGTTTTGCTTCTCTCAACCACTTTCTCTATTTAGGCCAATCGACTCACCATCAGAATCACCAACCGAGGGTCTCCCCAGAAGATTGCAAACTTCCAATGGAAAAGGGCCCTTGTCGAGCCAAACTCCCACGGTGGTTTTACAACTCATCAACTTACGGATGCGTGCTGTTTTACTTCGGAGGCTGCAATGGCAATGGGAACAACTTTTTGAAGAAAGATGCATGTGAGAAAGCATGCA